TAGATAGATAGATAGATAGATAAAAATATGTGTGTGTGTGTAGGCATTGCGACTGGTGGCGGTAAATGTAAGTGTTGGGTCATGTGTTGCTGGGCTGTACTGCTTGACATAAACAGCACTTGAAATGCCTTTGTTTCTGCCCCGCGATTCTTCGCAAGAAGACTTTTTGAGTCAACTCAGGGCCGCACGATGCTCCGTCTTTGCCCTGCCTCCCTCTTTGCAGAGTCGCGCTTGCGCTGGCAACCGGCCGGTGAGGGCTTGCAGGGACTTGGAATCTGCGGCCCAAATGGCTGGGCTCATCATAGCTGTGTCAATGCCAATACAGCCACTTTCCGGCACACTGATTGCAGATGCGTCTGGGTGCAGGACTGCATCTTCTGTGACGGGATCCTGCGAGTTCGTCGCATCCTGCTGGTTGTCTGAGTCTATGTGTGGTCGGATGCGAGAGAGATCCTTAACCGAATGACAGAGCTTTTGCTCCTGCAGCGGTGCACGTGCCAATTCTCATGTGCAACACATGGAGCAAACATGGTACAGTATTTCTTGGCCGTCCTGCAGCAGTACGTCGATGCCATCAGCCTCTCTCTCTCTCTGTCTCTCTCTGTCGTGCGTGCTCAACTGTCAAACGCGAACTGACTTTGTTCACCCAGCGAGTTCTACCCAAAGCCACACTACCGAGCAGGGAAGTTGAAACAGACACATGATGCCGTCACCCTACAGGCTTCAAACTTCCGTTCTGTGTGACCCACACATTCAATCATAAGGAGCTCATTATATTGAGCGGCAATGAGCGGCATTCCGATTTGGCAGCTGAAGCCTAGTGGGCAAGCGGCCTGCATGCGGAGGTGGAGGTGGAGGAGGTCGCCGTCTCGTATCCGAAGGCATTCGTCGGAGTCCCAGCCAGCAAGGGGTCTCACCTGTACCAGGAATCCGTGGTAAAAAATGCGGTCAGCTCCAGAAGCCTTCTGCCCGTGCCAGGCTGAGATGCGAACGGCTTGCTCCCAGGACTCACAACCTCCTGCATGTTCCGTCTGTGCGGAAAGGGGATGAGGTAGAGAGGTGCGCAGGCTGTAGGTCTCGTTGGAAGGCAGCTGACTTTGGGACAACCTGTCCTTCCGGTGCGGTGTTGATGCGACAGTGACCCTCTGTATCCAAGACAATCTCCTGGCTTGCAAGGCAAAGCCTAGGCCTAGACGTCGGGAACTCTCACATGGGTGCACCAAAAAGAAGGAACAAAACAACGTCCGCGCGGTAGCTACGGTAGTTCCTGACCATGGTAGAGATTGAGCTTACAGGGTCTCCGGCAATGCGCCTCCTGAAGCCCTGGGCTTAAATGCTGCTTCGAACATGGGTCGTAAGCTCCTATGTACGTGTGTACACCTACAGTTTATTCCAGGGCCTCCAACAGCGGGATGAAGGCAGGTGGGATTGAGGATCCGGTTTATGAGGCCTCACCTTAGGGCATTCTATCTTGGTCCACTGCTTCTCAGGCCCGCGCCCACCAGTACACCAGGAACTGCGCAATACCAGCCTGTGGGTTTGACGGGAGGCACATGACTACTCTGCCGTTTGCTTCTGAGGCCGGGCACGCGAGTGGCGCGAAGTTCGACTGGAGGATCGATCCAGTTGCCCAAGTTGCTGTACCTGGGATGCACGCTTGTGAAGTTCGTTTGCTAAGCTTCACGCGAAGTAGCTCGGAAGTGCTGCAAAATGCAGCTGCCTTATTGGTCGCGCTTGCTGTGTCGAAGCCAACTTAGAACTGAATTAGGGTAGATCCTGGCTCACACCTTCGGAAACCAACATCGAACCTCTGAGAACCTGCCCACCCCCCCCCCCTGTGTAGCATTGCAAGATCTAGACAGGTGCGGGTAGCCGTCAAGGCCAAGGCCCTCACAAGTATTCAATCTCCTGGAAATCCAGCTTCACCTTGGGACTGCCCGGCTTCGACAATATCGCATAAATGTGCCTTCATGAAGCCTGTACATGTGAACTCACACCGACATCTCACCAGGAACTTCACACCAACCAAGTCGCAAGGGGAATCGGATCTGTGAGCTTCGTGTGCGGAATGGTGGACATAGTCTCGCAGCTGTAGCGCTCACTGCACGAGGACAGCGCGGTCATGAGAAGCACGCAAATGAGCTTTCACGGAAAGTTCTTTTCTGAGAGGCTGTACGGAGTTGTTCGCAACAAGTTTGCAAGTGATGGAGGCCAACGCGTGTGCAGCAAGTGCACATTCACTCTAACAAGCTGCTCTGACATGCTCTGCTCAATGCCTGCCATGTAGAACACACCTCAAGCATCCCTAGTCAAGTTCAGTGACATTCATGTTAGGCAGTAACCTGTCTGCGACGCCCTGCTGCCTGTTGCGCAGCCTCGCTCCCTTCAATGAGGCCTCCAGAATCTTTGAGCGGTGACGGTAACCCGCATTCGCTTCTAGCCGAAAACTGCAAAACCTCGGAGTCTCTGAGCCCGTCGCTCCGGTCGGGGATTGCAGCACCGCAAACCGCTCCAAAAGATGGGGAGCCTCACAGCTCTCCACGGGTGGAGCTCAAGAGCATACGAGAAGCTCTGACCTATCTGCCTTATTGATGAGATGGCGCTTTGCTATAGCCCAAGCTGTCGCCATTGTAGCAAGAGTAGCACCAATCTCGACTCCATGCCGTCAGAACAACTTGCATCCTCAATGCTCTGACAGCTAAAGAGCAGGTTAGAGCGTCCAGTTGCAACAGGGCAGTGTGCCGGGAACTTAGAACAATTATTTGAGCAAGATTGCCAAGCAACTAGTCGGCGAGAGACCAAGATTGCAAGGGGAGCATGATTGCCAAGCAGTCTTGCAGTCTTGGTCTCCAAAAGGTAAACTAGTCTGCGAGCAAGTGGGGCAAGCGGGGGCGGGGGGCGGGGGGGGGGGGCATGATGCTCATGANNAAGATTGCCAGCAATCTTGCAATCTTTGTCTCCAAAAGGGTAAACTCGTTGGCGGGCAAGTGGGGCAAGATGACCAAGAATGCTTGGCAATCTTGCTCCCCGGGCTGACCAAGATTGCCAAGATGGTTCCGCCAATAAACTGTTCTAAATTCCCGGCACAATGCAACATGGAATGTCAAGGGGCACTCAGGCACTGCACCTATGCCCGAAAGCTTTCGGACGGCTGCTAGATGCCCTGAGAGCAAGTGACTACTGGCTAGAAAGTTCAAGCCCTCTAGACGACAGTGCAATCTGAAACGAGATACTCACTGCCACGCCGAACTCAGCATCTGGTTGTTGTCAGGTTGTTATGATTCTTATATGCTCATGATTGTTTTCTTCTACCATCATTAGAATGCTTATTGGCAAAATCGCGGTCCCGGGTGCCTCGACCAGCTGCCCGAAAAGCTGTGCACAAGATGGGATAAGAAGACCTCCTTCTCGCAAAAGTGCCTAGCAGCGCTGCTGTATGTATGTGTGTATGTATGTATGTATGTATATAGATACACATACATATATTTGCTATATCTATATATAGATATACACATGCATATCTCTATATACATTATATCCATGCAATAACACATATACATATACGAAATACACGCACATACACATGGACGTAACACAGACTTACTTCTTGCCTTATCTACGCATCTACCCACGTTATCGTATGTGCATATATTCACTTTCACAATCTAAGATTTTTCTGCCATTTTTGTTATCATTTTCATTACTGTTGCTATGATTCTGTGTACTGAAATGCTTATCTTTAGGTATGCATGTCTGTATATATACACATGGATGTGTGTGTGTGTATTCGCTGTTGTCGTTTCACAAAGGGTGTACGCAAAACACTGACACGTTGGCGTTCTACTTGTGTGTGAATATGAATGTATATATTCGCCTCGGCCCCGGCCGAAGCGGTCAGAGGTCTATTCGGATTCCCTCTATTCCCCACCTCTTAATCCCCTCCCCACGGACCCTTGTGGGGGGTCCCTCTGTGTGAACCCATACATGAGCCCCAAGGTCCGGCGGTGAACTTCGCCGCCGCCAAAGGATCGGGGGAGGGGAGCACCAAAATCCCTCCCCCCTCCCCCCCCTCCCCCTCCTCCCCTCTCCCCCTCCCCCTGAGATGTAACTTGGGCG